GGGTGGAGCGCTCGACCCCGGAAAAAAGGAAGAGAACTACGGCAAAACGATCGATACCGTTTTCGGTGGATCCGGTCGGTCCTAATAAAGACCCGATAAGTTTTGCCCGTCGGATGAATTATGGTCCCGGATGGTACCGTTGCTCCAGTTTCGGTTTGAGGTCGAAATTACACGAAATAAAAGTTTTATACCACGTTGCAGCACCAGGTATCCTATCCAACGACCGATGGAACTCACCTTTGCTCATAGCCGGACTTCCCTTTTCAATTAGAGCAACCGAACGAAGGGGCCATTAATTGTAACGATTAACATGATTTTCAAATGAATAGAAAAATGATTGTTATAAATGAATGATTAGGTATTATGGAATTAGAATGGTTATTAGAAATTTTTGGGACTTTTTTTTATATTTTGTCAAATTGAAACAACACAACAAAAATTGTACTATATATCGTCGCTTGAGTTCTTAACTATTTTAACTCCATTTTTTTTTAAATTCAAGTAATCAATTTGCGTACGTCTCTTTGGTTCAAAGAATACAAGTTCACCATGATATAATGAAAATTCTACCTAAAAAACAACAAATATTCTTTTAGGTATTAACTCCGAAACTTGGAAAGTTTCGTGTTTTAATGGTTATACCTCCAAATACTAACAACAATTAAAAATTTATGTTGATAGTACGATAAAATTTGTTAAATATTTTAATAAATAGCTATTCGGTAGATGATATTATAATGTGTTTGATTATTTCACTACTTTGTTGCTTCTATAACATTAAATTTCGTAAACTTTATACCTACTCGGTTTTCTCAGTTTAGAAACTGGTGGAGTACTGATTCTATGTAAATAATATAAGTTCTAAAAATATTTTTAGTAGATTTACACTATAAAAATATTATAAAAATACGATACAATGATGAGAATAACGTAAGTATGTACACGTCTTGTAAGTAAATTTAAAATTATAAAGTTATTCGGCTTTACGGATTAATTCAACAAAAATGAAACGTTTTTTTTGACGTTTCAGGATAAAATCGAAAATCGAATTTTAGTATTCCGAATAATATTTTACAAAATATTCTATTTGATTGGTCTAGCCGGTATCACGTGGAGCATACTCCGTTGCGGATCAAAGCCGAATCAAAGCGTATTTCGGTGCGGGGTGGGCGGGGATCCATCAAAGATTAACTTTAAAAGCGAGATTCCGTGTCGTCGTAAACGTCGAACGGACCGCGTCGTGCAAAAATTATTAGCAATCTCTGATCCAATTTCCGTGCAACGCCGCGCGCTTGCTTCGCAGAAAATTGCCACTCTATATACCTGAATTCGCCGAAATTTTCGTCGATGATTTATTAGGCCGCGTGTATATAACACTGGCGTAGAATTGTCGCCAATGTGAGCGAGCTAGACGGTATCCCAGCCGGAATAAGGAGAACAGATAATAGAGTTTAATCTAATTTCCCGTGACAATGGCCGGTATACCTGTACTTAATATCTGTTACCTGTCCGGAACAATGTACCACGAAGCCCACGAGAAATATGGAATTCATGGGAAAAAGAAGGACGGGGGAGTGGAGAAAAAATGAATTGCTTAGCGGTAATTCCTTATTAATTTCTATTAAATAAGGCAATCGTCCGTATAATCAGCGAACAATGCCCGCGCATAAAGGGAAATAGTGAGTAGTTGAAAATGGTTAAGAACGCGTCTTCTACAGTCTTTCACGATAATTAGTATACCTACTATACAGTAATGAAAACAATTGATGTAGTTCTGTTCTACTAGTAAGAAAAAGCGAAAAAGATGGTAAATGTTTTTTTTAACAAGTTTTGCGTCGCATCAACTGCAAGATTATTAGCGACGTTGAACATTCCCTGTTGTTTCATTATATTTGGTCTAGTAATTTTGTTTTCTTGATGAAGCCACAAATATTTTGTTACACAATTTAATTGTGGTACGAGAAATCGTGTAGAAAAATGCGTACTTTTTAACATTGGAAACAGAACTCACCGTTACCACCATGAAAATTTCAGGTTACCAACAGTATACAGTCACTGCTGAAACCTCTCCGTCCTATTTGCATGCTGTGACGAGGAGACAGTCGAGGAGTGGGGATGAAGAGGACACGGACTTGAAGAAGGACCGCGCAACGATGCAATTTTTACAATCGTAGGGTCGTTTAAAATGGAGCAAAGTTTTTACGAGGAGCAGCGTCGCCCTTTAAGAAAACGCCGTAATGGTGGTGGAGGGTTCCTTGCTTTTTATGACGTTATTTCGCGCGGGCCAGTCTTTTGCAGACAAATTTTCCGTCTTCGGTCGTCCCCGTTACAATAGTCATAGCCGTTTAGATGCTTTTTCGGTTTACCGTGCACCCGTACCGACCAGCAATAAACACATCTACTTCAGAGGAGGAATAATTTGTTTTGCCTCCTAAGAAGAATTCCTACAGAAACTTCATAATAACGCTACAATTCTCACATTTCGTCGAAAACTTTCGTACCTTTTTTTTTTACAGAGTCTGAAACATGTACATATTTAAACCCTTCATTTTTAGGTTAGTTGAAAATCACCAAAGAAATATTTTGTTGTATTTTTGTATATTTTAAACGACATATTAATGCTTCACAAGAACATTTTAATATTTTGAAACCCTCTAATGCCATTTATTATTCGTTGCCATTTGACAACTTTTTTACCTTTATCAGTTGTATATAATATTCGTCATTATAATGTTATTATTATATGGCGGATGTTTATGCATTTATAGTGTTTCTTTAATCTGCAAAACACACTAAAATATTTATTTGTTATTATTAACGTATTCAAGCTTCTAGCGCAGGGAATAAAATTCTGCATGATTCTTATTTATCTATATTAGTATTTAAAACTGTTAATTTGCATAAACATTCGCAGTCTAGTTATTATTTATAATAAAACCCAAAATTTGTCTTACTTTTAAAGAACGAGTGATTTCAACACATTCACTTCTGCATCATTGTTGTTTTTGTTGGCATAAAAATTATATTATTATGATGTATTACGTATTCGTTTTATATAAAACGGGCTGGCCTCCATTTATTCTTTTGTTAACCAATCAAACTTAAACGTGGCGGTTGATGTGGAAGATTATCGTGTTTACACCGAGCGACAAGTATAATCGCAAGTAAGCCGACGTTAAGAGGATTTTCCCGATTGTTCGCACAAACTCTTCGACGACCTCAAAGCTCCACCAGCTAATTCTAATGATTTATCTACAACGCCACGCTTTCCGGCCTACCTGAGAATGTTTCCTCCGCCTGTCTCGTGTGCAAATATAAATATCTAATACACTGCATTTCTTAGAACAGTTGAATCATTATCTTCTTTAACGATCATTTTCTTTTATTTGTTGAGAATAAACATGGGTTCTTCTAACAAAACACAATGCTTCCTTAATTTTAATATTAACGAGTTATAAGAAACTATTGATTATGGTAAAACTTAAAGTAATAGTTACAATTCAGTCATTTTGCACACTACTCCATGTGATAAACATATATTATTATTCTCGTAGAGTCGAAACATCATTCTCGTAGAATCAATTGCTTAGTATTTTTTTTATGAAACTGAATATCCGATTCGTTTAATATCAGTGTCAGTATTATTTAATACTAAATGGGGTGGATGCACTAGTAAATGAACCCGTACCAGTGAATAAACCTTATATATAAAAAGGAGTAAGTTAAGTTATTAAAATAATCACATCATTATGTAAATATTGATTTTCTTCAATTCCTTGTTTTATATTCAAACAATTGTTATCAATCAAAACAAAGTCTAATTTTAATATGCCAAATATTTATTATTATTATCAATTAAATTTCGATTTTAATAGTTAAAAAATCTGTTATGTGTTTATTCATTGCTGCATTTATCCTATTAATTACTGAGTATATATTAATACTGAACACTAATCACCAAGTATTAATATTGAGTATTAATCACTACGGTATTAAAAATTCAAAATTTACAGCTTACTAAATTTCCGAACGATCTTAAAAGAAATTCATGCCGTACCAACATTGATTATATACACAAAGCTCCTAGCAAAGATGTCATTAACTGTTTGAAACTCGGGTCGACGCCCTTACATACTCCAACTTTTAACTATATATTGTTCGAATAAAATTATGCCCAACTCTAGCTCCTCGATGCAATTCGCCCATTCGTCCGAACCTCTCGAAATCCATTCACAAATATTTAATTACCTCGCAAATTTCTCGCGTCCTGTACTCTGCATCGTGGAAGAGAAATACTAGAAAAGAAAACCCACCCCTGCGAAATTTGGAGTTCATCAGCCTAGCTGGGTTATTCGCTGCTAGTACCTACGGCAATTCCTGTGAATTTGCACTAGGAAATAACGACAGATAATTTCCTCCCGGCACCGATGCATAAGTTGATGCTGTCGGGTGCATCTCGTAAAAATGCATCTCCGCGATACGTCGGAGATGAGGAGGGGAAGGGGACGCGTGTTGAGCGAGATGGAGGAGTGGGGTGGGGGGAACGACGAGGGAGAAAATAGGCAGTGCCAGGGGATCTCCGTCAGCCAATCAGAGGCCCGTGCAATGGTCGCCGTCCAATCCGTGAGCGTGACGGAACGATGGTCGCCCGACGGATTGGCAAAGTCGTATAAATTGCCGGTAGACTGGTTCGTCCTTTCAGTTGCACGTAAACACTTCTCGCAGAGAACACGTTCTGTGGGAGGCACAATCTTTCGTTCCGAGTTTAACGTTGGTATTAGCACAGTGAAAGCGACGTTTTTCCCTTCCGTGTTTCCGTATGCAGTTACGGGCGTAAATACAGACTTTCGGTAGTGGAACAATCGAGGAGAGTCTGACTAACGTAAAAATCAGTGACACGTAAAAAGTGGTGGTTATTCACGTAGGGAATCCGTAACGAGAAGTGACCGTTTGTTTCCCGATATACGAACGTTCGAAACGACGATATCAGTGCGACAAAAATGCAAGGCTATCAGAGGAACTTCGAGGATCAGCAGAGGGATCAGAGGGATGAAGAGACGATAGTGGTGGACCTGGTGCCACCTCAATATCAACTCAGCCCACCGCACAGCCCTCCGCCCGGGAATATGCCAAAAACCCCGGAAAAAGGTAAATTTCACTTGAACAATTTTCTCGATGAACATTGAGAATTTTCGGGGGGTTACTTCGTCGCGTACGCCTCTATTGAATACTAAATACAAACGTGGTTGATCAATAGTTAAGTAGTTTAAGTTAAAGAAAAAACCTTTGGAATAAGAATGTTTCTATTCCTTTTGACTGGGAATCGAACAATTAGTTTGAACTCGTAGGATAATAGGGACCCTAAGCGATATCTACCGCGGATAAAGAGTTGTCTCGAGAAAGTAAATTCTAAAGAATTTCCTGCTCCGCCTACGGAAACATCGCAGCACACGTTCGCGCATTCTTTCAGCCCACCTCCTGAACGCGCCCGCAATTACCGTCCTGTAATTGCTCGGGAGGGTTAATTGCTCAAAACGTTAATCCAATTGATTGTTCGTTGTTCCGTCAGTGCGTTAAGGGGTAGCTTTCTGTGGGCTGGAATGGGGTGAGGGAAAGGACCCCGAACGGAGTAGCGGGCCCATTGAACGTTCGTGAATATAAGTGAGACTCTAAACGGAATCGGGCGAACCCTTCGTGGAAAATTGTCCCTCGCGGTTTATTGCGGTAATTATTTTATGGTTGCTCCCTGATTCCTGAAAACCTCGTTCCCGAAGATCTGTTTATTGCTGAGGGATTTCGAAATTGGCCATTCGGTGTCGCGAACTTTCGCATCGCCATAACTTTTGTCCTCCGTTCGAAAAGAAATTAACGGTTCCCTCGGAAACGTGTATATTGTTAAAAATATCGCCTCCCCGAGCACCTTAGTTTTATTCTTACCGCGACCCTGGGAGTCCTTGCCATTGTAACATCGCAAAGTGGTCATTGTTTTACGATCAGAATTTCTCAGGATTGCATCAAAAGGGTAGAAATGTTCCTTTCTATCGGTTAGATAAGTACGTACATTCGAAGTTTCCGCTGGGTAGACCGAAGAAAATTATCTCGAAAAGAATCCCAAACATCCGACGGGAGTCCAGGTGAGGTCCAGCGACCCACTGAGGGGATCCTTTTCAGACCTCTCTATGCGGCTTTTCTTCTCGTTTACACGACTCCAAATGCGATCGCCCGCTGTTTCTGGGTGGGTGGTGGGACCCAGAATCTGTAACCGCGTTAGGAAAACAAGAACCTGGGCCGTCTGTTCTCGAGAATACAGTTTTGTCGTGACAAATTGCGGTGTCCACACAAAAATGACACGCGCACAACGGGACAGACGGACGTTTCGGTGGTCGAGAATCATTTCCATAAGACGCGCTTCTCTCTTTCTATTATCGAGAAATTTGAACTGTCGGACGTTGGGAGATTTATCAATGGTTCCTTCTTTAATTTGCAGAAACTTCGCCGTCGCATCAGCAGCAACAACAACCGTTGTCCTCGATGGACCCGAACATCAGACGTTACCGCACAGCTTTCACGCGGGAGCAATTGTCCCGTTTGGAGAAGGAGTTTCACAGGGAGAATTACGTGAGCAGGCCGAGGAGATGCGAATTGGCCGCCCAGCTACACCTGCCCGAATCGACGATCAAGGTGTGTATATCCAGAGAGTTTTGTTCACCTAGCGGCCAATTAGAAAATCCGTTTCATCCATCACCCAGCCATTACGACGGAATATTTGACGGGAATATGTAAACAGCACGCCACGGTAAAGTTCAGTAAACACGGTGATCTCATCCTCTCGGACAGCCGCGTAGAAAAGTGTTCTATTAACACCTCGGTCTGTTTAATTAATGACGGTAATCGACGCTCACGGTGGCACAGACGGAAAAGCCTTGAGGAGTTATTTGACTTTTGCTTGCGTAATTATCGTGAAGGTTTCGAGATTGGAGAAAAATTGCAAAAATCGTTTACTCGTTTAGAGATTGCAAATACTTAATCAAGAGACGTTTCAACGCTAGTATGATCGTGGGGACCGTGGAGATCGTTTTTTTTACGCGCGAACCCGCCATACTTGATCGACGATTATAGCTCGAGACGAGGGTTAGAGAGGTGGGGGGTGGAGACTCGCCAGAGTTCGTCGGCAATTCCTTTCCTTTCCTCTTTTTTTCTCTCTTCAGAACCGTGCAAACAGTCAATCACGAAATGCAAACACACACCAGGCTGTTTCTCTCGGTCTTCGCCTCGATCCCCTTGATCCTTTTTCCGTGACTTCTTAATACAGTCTTTTGAGACCACGACCGGTCGATCCGGTCTGTAGGTGTTAATCACTTTAATTAGCGGTTTTTCCCCGGTGGCCACCTTTGACTTTAATGGATCCCTTAATTTCTCATCTCGCACGACTTCGGGCTGTTGTACAATAGCTATAAAACCCGGCCGGTGGAGAGAAAAAAAAAGTGATCGAGGTGTTAAACGACCACCGACATACACGGTTCGCTCTTCGGAACGTTGCCTTTTTTTTCGGGGTCTCTCTGAGTATCGAGAATCCTTCCGGTCTCCCACAGACATGTTTCTTTTCTCGCGGTCCAAGTCCGAGAGCAATTAAAAGGTAGACAAACTCATAAAAAACTTCCTTAAAGAATTAAAGAGAAAAAAAATCCCATCGAACTTGATTTGTCGTGCCCCGTACATCTTTCATCAATGGTCATTCATTTCCCTTTCCACGAGAACCTTTAACGAACCAAAATATAGAATAATATAACAGTAAATTCGCGGTCTAAGTCAGAGCGCAATCAAACAAATGTATAGAAAACTTCCTTATGAATTTAAAGAAGAAAAAAATAAATTCCTATCAACCCTGATTTGTCAAGTCCTATACAGTAAATCTTCCATGGGTGTTCAAAGGGTCCTCTCCACGGAACATAAAACATTTCATAACCTAATGCCCATATGCGGCTGAAACAAATATTGCCTTCAAAAACTCAGCGTTACGCCTTATAACCTCTACCTATAAATGTATCTCCGAACACTCATCGAGAATTTCTACATCGATGATGATTCCTTTCCCCTTTAACGGAAGCCTTTTACGAACCAAAATCAAGATTAAATGAAAACTCGTCTAACAACTCCATATTTCTCTGATTGCAGGTCTGGTTCCAAAACCGTCGCATGAAGGACAAGCGTCAACGTATGGCGATGGCGTGGCCGTACGCGATGTACACGGACCCGACCCTAGCGGCTACTTTGTTGGCCGCGGCGACTGCCACGTTGCCGCCGCCGCCGTATCATGGTGCCCCTGGTCTGCCGCCGACCCATTTGGGCCCTAGTTATCCAGCTGCCGCCGCGGCGGCTTACTACGCGGCCAGATACTCACCTTATCCGGGAGCAGTGCCGACCAGCAGCGCGTCGTCCCTTCACCGACCACATCCGCGCACCGCTGCCGCTTATCCGGCTCATCCGCATCTACTGCAGCCTCACCCATCGTTGCCGCCCCTGCACTTGACCGGTCTGGGCGTTCCTACGGTAGGCAACACCGCCTTCCAGGTGAACAACCCACCCACAACCGCGGCGACCACCACCTACAGGCCGACCATGCTGCCCGAACTGAGTCCCGTGCACTCTGACGCGTCGAGCGACTGCGACTGCGTCGGCACTCAACCACCGCATCACCCACACCACCATCATCACACGACCAACGGGCAACAGATCCACGGGAAAAGCACACCATCGCCGCCTGTCACACACTCGTCGCCCACGCAGATCAAGCTACCGTCCGGTATCAGTATCGCCGGTCTACCGACCACCATCTCGACGATCGGGATGTACGAGAGCAAGACCACCTACGCAGGGCTGGTATCAACCCCCAGCGTGGTACAATCGACGAAGATGGACCCGCCGAAGCTGTTCCAACCGTACAAGAACGATATCAGCGAGAGGGCGTAAGCAAACTGTGGGATCGTTTGAATGTGGAGGAGTCGAACGAAGGCTGGATTCTTTCATCGATTCTAATGGAGGTGTTTATAGCGAAGAAGTTGGGTGGATGGATATGTACATATCGGTGTGAATTCGTTGATTTCTTGTCGGTGATTAAGCGTTAAATTTGTATATATAGATGTATAAGGATAGGCGAGAAGATGTCGAGAGAGACCACCCATCGGGTGTACGATTCCAAAGGTAGAGTGTGTTTCTTCATTTTTTTGAAGGGGGATTTTAGCTTCTTGGGGAATTTTATAGAGAGAAAGTGTACAGAGTATGCTATAATTGTAATCGAGCTCGTTGTGTTACACGAGGTCGGATCGAACTGTGCCAATCGGGATGATCGAGGACTGATTGTAAATAAAACGTCGATCGATTGTAGAGAACTTGTACCTGTTTAATGAAATCGCTGTGCGACACTTGTGTATAGGGGAGAACGAGAGGATTCTGTAAAGAGAATATCGATTTGCTTACCGTGTGCGATTTAGATCGTTAGCTGATAGACGATGTGTACAGTATTACGTCTCTAAGTAATTTATTATAGTCATTGTTCTACGAGTTCGTAGAGTGCAGGGGAGGGGAATCCATTAGATTGATTCCCTGGAAGATGTTTATCAGAGACGATTCTTTCGCGGATGGTGGAGCCCGGCCGTGAACGTGTTACGATTAGACTGTCGATATTTATGCTTAAGGTACCTATGTGTCTACGTAAAGAGATGCGAGTATATAGAGAAAGAGACGAGGAATAAATATTATATATGAACTATAAACATATGGACTATTTTGTTTCACTTGAGTATTCCTTCCTGACTTTAATCTTAACAGTTTATTTACCGGTAGCCTATTAATATGCTTTTCGATTTCAATGCTTATAGATGAGAGGCCTATTAAGTTACCCTTAGACCAGGGTTAAAGAAGAAATTGATACGTTATTCTATTAGAGTTCTTGCTATTTTTCATAAATATGATCATTGGATTCCACTAAACTTATTAAATATCAACTGGTAGATAATGTTTTATTCCTTAACATTTGCCATATACAGTATTTTCAGTTTCTAACTTATACATTAGAGATGTTCCACATAAATTTAAAAGTTGAGTATCGTTGCGATAATATTTAGAAAAGAAATTGTTTAATAATCACATCCTGATTGGATAAATAACGATAAGTTACAAATCCACTGAAATTGAATGATCACCAAAGTTAGTTATTCCGCTTTATTAGTTGTGAGCGGTGGGAAACTTATTCATCATTTAATGGAGAAGACGTTCTAAATGATAACCATGGTCCATTTTCGTTGCTCGCGCCTTAAATAAATCCTTAATAGTTCTTCCAAGACACGATATCCATCAATCTGAGCTTTATTGCAGGAGTTTCGAATCAATCACCGTATTTATTTCACCCCTCCTGTCGACGTTAGTAATGGCTCCGGGCCCTTTCCTCCATTTTCACACATCTCACTAACACGGACGCGTTGATGAATCCCTTTATCGGGGAATGTACCTTTTATCGAGACCGAATGAATCGGTTGAATTTAATAGGAACGTTATTTAAATCATTCTACATAAGCAGTGAAGAATTTTTGTAAATGCACATCATGATGCAAAATAAGTAACCGGTAGACTGTTGCTGTTTATGCATTTGCAACATCCCTTAAATTGGAAAATGCAACAAGGTAAAGGTTTTAATAAATTTTGAATACTATTTAAATATTATTAATAACATACTAAAGCTCCGTGTAGTACAGAATTCAAAATTCTGCTCCATTTGAATTCTTAAATATTAATATCGGAAATTCCGAATTTGTATAAACTTCTGCAGTCTATATAGTAATCGGTATATTATTTCTGAGTAGAGTGCACATAACGAATTCAAAGCTAGGATGAATACCTATTCAAAAAGAGAAAGAAATTCACAATATATACAAAAAGAGTGATTTTCATGAAACACAATTCATAAGTCCCTATAAAAAAAATCGTATATGCTACAAAATTAAAAATGGCCACCGTTTAGAGTAAATATTCGAAACGATTTGCAGACTTTAAGAATGAATCTAATCGAGAAGTGGATTATGACGAGGGGATGGTATTTATTGCTATGTTATCGAATGTGATAGTCACTGAAAATTACAATCAGAATTAAGATTGTTCAGCTCCCCTCTTAGAAAAAAATCAGTGAATCGTGAGGGGGTGGGACTTCCACGGGATATCCACGAAAAGCACATGGTATATGCGTGCAGCAGATATAAATAGCCTGGAACTACGAATCCGGGGGTGCCGAGGGCAATTAACTCTTCGAGCGATTTCGTTGGGGAAACGAGATAATTCCGTATAAACGCCACCGGCTTAACAACCCATTGAGGTTTAACTATGAATCTACTGCCACCCCCATCCGCTACCCTTTCGTCCGACATCGACGAATCGTATGGATTGCGGGGAGCCACCGGGCTGCGTAAATATGTCCTCGAGTAGGCAAACAGTGTTCCTCGGTCACTTACGGAGACTCCGAGGAATATTTCATTGCAGTTAATCACACACCAATTCCACAGTAGATCGAGTGGACAGAATAAATAGAGGAGTAAGCAAACTTTAGAAAAAAATCGACTGGATTGGATAATCCTATAATGGAATGATCGAATAGGGTAAATTTAGGACAGACACCACCCTTTTTTGTACTGATTACTACGATCTTATTTTTATTATAATAACACACTCATATACTAAGAAAATATACGTAAAATTCTAAACTTCTCTTGTGCAAAATCAACAAAAAAATTTTAGAATGACAAGTCGACGAAATGACCTCTAACAAATCTTGTAAGGGAGATACCACACCCATGGGGTGAGATGTTATATGCACTAATTTCTTTTCCTTATATTTTGTACGCCTATAGTACAAGTAAATGGCAAAGTTGTAGAATTTTATCTGGCCCCCCATTTGTTACTAATTAAGTTTAAATATTGAAATTATTTGGTCAGCTTTCTAAGTCGAATACTCCACTCGAAGGGTTGATATTATTGTTGAATAGAATTTCTCTCTCTATCTAGAATGTATATTGAGCAACGTGACTGACGTTTACGACTAATTCTGGATCAATCCTTGATTCCACTTCCCCTATAAAAGGGTAAAAGACTTCATTAATGAACAGAAATGTCGAGCTACTATAATTACAGGACGATGGAATCGAATATTGCATTGGCAGCTGCAATGAAGTGTAGACGAGATACCTGCCACTCGTAAAATCATAAAATCTCGAGCCCCTCCCGGGTAAACCGTGGAGGGGTAGGTGGAGAAAGAAAGACAAAAAAATCGCCTCGCTGATCTGCCGTCATAAATATAAAACGAGGCGTTTTGTTGGTGGCCCGTAAAAAAATCATCGAAAAAATTTCGGAAAAAGACGAATCAGCCGGAGAGTCGAAGCACCGAAAGGTTCCCCCGTCAGAGAATTATAAAATATTTAAGCGTTATATTATCTGCCCGAAAACCTATCGTTGTAAAGCGTTTAGCCTTTTCCGAACGGTCAAATAGTCACGGGGGTGACTATTAGCGCGTCGGATTTTCTCACCCCATTTTTTTTTCTTCACCGCGCTCCGAGCTGCAATATAATACTTCGACTGGTTCGGTTTTTTGATCGGGTCTAATGAAGATACAACAACTGTAACTTCTAGTATCTCGGATATTTATTCAAAAAGTAATTATACGTTTTCGGTTTCTGTACCTAATTTAATTATCTGGAGCCGGGAACCCTGACGATGTTCTTAAATATTTTAAATCATTCACTATATTCGACCTTTATAAAAAGGATGAAACACAAATTTCCAAGAGTCCCATTGCTTTTGTAGAAAATATTGACATGTTAATATTTTGTAGGTACCACTAATTGCGAGTGATGCATTATTTTGTTACCGAGTTAGTATTTATCAACACCATATCCTGACGTAACACTATTCACCGACGTTCTTCACCACTGTAAAGTATTTTTACCGATTCGAATGTCAGAATAACCTCCTCCTTTTCGAAGTCGATTAAAAAAGAATTTCAATTAAAATTATTTACACTTCCTCCTTAAAACGTAACGTTTCCCTATTCGATTGTTTAACCAAAGAATTCTGAGGTAGGAATTTTCGGGAGACCGTGAATAAAGATCAGTCGCTATCAGAAGATCGATCATTTTCTTTCTCTGCTATTCAAGCAACGATCCAGCCAGGGTTCATCAAATATTAATATCCAATTTATACCTTCGACGAAGGGATGATCCCTCGTTGCACGGTCCCACCCCTCGAAATTATGTCGAGGGATCCCTCGATCGAGCTGGTCGTCACCCTCCTCGGTTTAGGTGGCGGCCATCTTTTCGCGAAATCACAGACAGATCGTGGAATTGCATTATCTTATCTGACGGTCCATTAGGTGCCGTTTAGACGACTCGTTCGTAACAATCTATTTGCAGTATTGTTCCGAGGGGCGGTGGGGGAGGGGAATAAATTGCGAGCAGCATCCTTGCGTCAGGATAATAAGCATACGATAGCTTCCTGCTCGAGATACCGATAATAACGCGTTATTTATGAGGGAATATACGTGTGTACGATAGATACAGCTTCCCCATGAAATATGGGGTACATTTGAAATGGAGGATTTCCTTTCCGCATAATACATCGTATTATTGGGAAATATTGTTAAATATTTAGAAATTCCCAAAAATTCATACATGTTTACACCAGGCCCCCCCTCCCTTAATATCAAATTGTTTGAGTATATATGTATGTATTATATCAGCTCTACACACTATGTATGTGTCGTATCGGTCCCATCACTAATGTGAAATCACCAATCACTTAACGAACAAATTAAGAAAACAGATACTCGCTGTCTCTAAAAAAAAAACGCCTCGTTTCCCAATCGTTCTCAGCAAACTGTAATTCACAACGGAGGGAAAAGGGGAACGAAAGCGTACCCCGGAAATTCTAGA